CTGTAACTTCTGTCTTATTCCTTAAATGATGCTTCCAAATTCCCTACTCCTACCCTGTGCCTGCAGGTTACCAAGTTAGTCTTTTCAGTGTATATTGGAGTTGACCTTTACATACACACACAGGATACTTGGGATTTTGCATAGCGTTACAAATATACAACACAGGGCCGGGGTTGTAGCTCAGTGGTTCCGCCGCCTGCCTCATAAGAGCAAGGTTCCAAATTCGAACCCTGGTACCAAACAAACAAATAAATGACTACAACAAATATACAACACAGAGATGAGGCCTTTTATCTCAGCTCTGCCCAGAGAGTGAATTATCCAGTGTAATTCCTGTAACCCTCTCCTCCTCCATCCCCACCCCCAACAGGAACAGGAAGTAATAAAGGGTCTCTTCCATGCCTGTGTATTTTCTCTCCTTCTCCCTCCTTCCTTCTTCCTCAGTTGCCACTCTCCCACAACCCTGTATGGACTTGGGGACTCTTCAAGGACATCTTTATCCTAGAACTCAAAAACTTAGTTGAAAGTCTCTACTCTAGGATGAATAGAATCGTAGGTACATAGTTATAAAGACATTTAATGGATTTTCTTAAGTCTATTATTAAAGGGGACAGTCTAGAAAAAATGAATTAGCTTCCAAATGCCTTAATTAGAAATTTTTAATCTGAACAGGTCTTTCTCTCCTTTTTAATGAAAAATGCTGTTGCCTAAAATCTGTCCCCAGTTCGGAAGAATACTACATGCCCAATCCATGTCTCAGTTAAAGGGACTTTTAAACTTTGACACTTTCCAGATTTCCTAAAAACTGTTGTAGATCTTTCTTTCGAAAATATCTTCATCGAGTAAATATCCTGTCTCTTATTGGAAGTGTTGAGCTACCTTAGGGAGATCATTAAACTATCTGCTATCTCTACCTACTGGTAAGAAGTTACATAGAAGTGACTGTCTTCACGGTGTCTGTGTTTAAGTATAATCTGATGTAAAATATTTGGCTGAGATACCTGTTGGTCTGCTAATGTAGCCCAAGCCTTTCTTTTGGGGTACGCCAAAGTCAAGTGCATTTAACCCTGGCTCGAAACAATTACCAGGGACACCTCTTAAAAATACCCTTGCCTGAGCTCCGAGCAGAGATTGTACCTCTTGGGAGAAGAGGCTTAGACACCAGTACTTCTCTAAGGACTCTGAGGGACTCTAACACGGCCAGGGAAGAAGCCCTGTGTGGCAGGCAGCTCTCCCTCCGCAGAGAATTACTCTTCCTGGGCAACTCTGCCTCCTGTACAGGGGACTGACTACGCCATGTAGTAAAATTTTCTTTCTTTCCATAAATAGAGCTTAGACATTTTATGACATTTCTAGTCTATAATTTCCTACCATTCTTTTAAAGAAAAACAGAAAGAATTATGCTAATTCAGAAGAGGATACTTTTTTTTTAACTGTGTGACTTGTTTAGTAGGTTCAACTTGAGGGTTTGATACATATTGCATTTTTTTTACCCCTCTGCTCCCCTCTCCTCTCCTCTACTGGGACAACCCTCTATTTCTTAAGATGACTTTATTTTGCTCTTTAAACTGTTTATATTTTGGGTCTCTCATATTAGAGATACAGTATGATATTTAACCTTTTCTGACTTATTTTACTTAGCATTACAGTCTCAAGATCCATCTATTTTCTTATAAATGGCTCAAATTTATCCTTCTTTGTGACTGAATAGTACTCCATTGTGTACCTATGCTATATATTCTTTATCCACACATCTGTTTTGGGCATACAAGCCCCTACCATGATTTAACTATTGTGAGTTGTGTGGCTAACACACAGGTATGCATGTGTCACTGTTGTAGGATGACTTTAATTCAAAGGGGATGCTTTAAAGAATAGCCAAGCCAAGCACTGAGGTGTATGCCTGTAATTCCAGCACTCTGGGAGGCTGAGGCAGGAGGATTGCAGATTCCAACCCAACCTGGGCAACTTAGCAAGACCCTGTCTCAAAATAATTTTTTTTTTAATTTAAAAGGTTGAGGATGTAGCTCAATGTGAAGGCCCTGAGTTCAATCCCCAGTCCCCCCAAAAAAGGGCTCCCCAAAAGAATAGCTAAACTCAGATCTTTCACAGATTCTGCTTTTCATTTGAATTGCTGAAGTGATCATCTTGATGATAAAAGAATCACACAGGACTGTATTTATATTTATCTTATTGGTGTATATGCATTCATATTTGTTCTTCAAATGAACCAATTCTTTCATGAAGCTGAAATATGCAGAGAGGTAGAGATATACAATCTTGCATTGAGCTTTATTCTTCTATATTCCAATGAGAATGCAATTTCAATTTACACACTTACAGATAAACAAAAAAATCACCTTTGTGTCTTCCCCCCCTTTACTATTCCCAATGAATTTTATGATCTACACTTTATATATTCTGGAAGTGTTTTAGAACTAGGGTTAGTCTGCTGCTGGGGAACTGCCCACAACTCTTTTTTCAATGCCAAATGAAAACACAGATCACAAGTCAAATAAATCAGGGTGAAGCAACTTTTATGTGTATCCAGGACTGGCCACATTATACGGTGTTCAGTGAAAGATGAAAATGGGAGCCCATTGTTCAAAAATGACTGAGAAACTTGATCTGGTGACAGCAGGGCGTTAAACTGGGTCCAGTGCCCATCTCGGTTGGGGCCCACAGTGTGAGTGACTATGCAGCTGCACACAGGTTTGTGCAACCAGTTCTATGTGTGTCTGGAAAATGGCTTTGGTGCCAAGTTTTGCACCCAGAAGCGTGTCTGCATGAGAATGGATAAAGTCCCCGGTTCAGAATGTTGCTTCAGGTGGAACTGAAATACCTCATCTGTGTGACTGGACGCTGGGGCCTACAACACTGCTCTTGGAGTGGAACTACAGGCAATGAAAGGGGGGAAAGTAGATGTTCTAGACCTAGTCCCGTAGAACTTCATTTGTCTGGCTTTAATGATACTTGGGGGAAAAGGAAGAGCCTGCTGTAGATAAAATATGTCAACCAAAGAAAACTTTTGATTTCTACAAAGATTAACTGTGATAAATACATCTTTTTCAGATGATTTTTAAAAATAACATTAGATACAGGAACTGTATAACCTGATTTGGAAGCTGTTGGTTCTGTAATAATGAAAATGAATTATTTTTCGAAATAAACTCAAAAATTTTAGAAAAGTTTCTGGAGCAAATTCTTATCTTTGGTGTGCTGGGTTTGCTTTTCATGATCATGTAATAAATTAGTACTTATATTTAACAATACAGAGAAAACAAAATAAGTTGGGATTTCTTACAGGTTCTGTTAGCGTTCTTTTGATTTATTTTTCAGTTTCATCCAATCCATAATTCTGCACCCCAAGTTACTATTAACAAAACAAGTGCAAATTAAAATAACTTAAGTTCATTCTCCTGCCATATTAGCAAAGACCTGTACTACCCAGCCCTGGCACTAATGTGAAAGAAAGGGCACTGTGTCGCACACTGAAAGCTTTGGCGAAAATTGATAAATCAATGCATGGCAGTTGGACAACATTTATCAAATTTGGAAGGCCTCCACTTTAACCAAACAAGTCCACATCTATATAAAATCCACATCCATTCTGAAGAACTTATCCTTCAGAAATTATTGCACAAATGTGCAATCACTTATGGTGAGAACTAGTTACCAGCATTCCAGGTGATAATAGTCAGAAACAGCCTAAAAGACCTTCAAAGGGGCGTTGTCAGTTAAATCACATTCATGCAGTGGACTGTAATGAAGGCCCTGAAAAGACAAACCCGAACAAAACGTAGATCTGTAATCCACTGAGGGACGAACAAGGTGGTCACAGCACAGTGTTGCAGTACAATCATATTCGAGTTAAAAGGTAGGCTTGTATATACCCTAAAAAGCTGGGAGGCTGAGGCCAATCTGGGCAGCTTAGAAAGACCTTGTCTCAAAATGAAAAATGAAAAAGGCCTGAGGATGGAGCTCAGTGGTTAGGCACCGCTGGGGTCAAACCCCGGCATCATCCAAAAAAATGGCTTCGAGGATGTATTCACGTCATCCTATTAATAGTGATATGTTTTTATCTTTGTCTTGGGTTTGAGGGAACTTGATTTTCATGATTTGAATTTTTTAATGAGGTAAAATGTAAGTATTTTTATTTGGGGGGGGAAATGTAGTCTTCCTGTTAGTCATATCCTTTAGTTTACATCATCATTCCTCATTAAAAGCTCAGAGATATTTGTTTCTCAAAAGGAAAATAAAAAGACTGTGAACTCAATAATGATCAGACAGTGGTATCAAAGCTATTGTGGGAACTTCGGGGCATAAAAATAACTGTGTTGAAATTTCCTTCAGCACCAGACCCCACCACACTGTGATCTCCCTCAGTGGGAAGCCTCGACTCCTTCACGAGACGGGGCTCTGGGGCTGCTACCTGTTTTCCTGGGCTCTGCAAACTTCCTGCAGCCCTGTGGCCATAATGAGCTCTCAGCTCACATTTGAGGTCCCCCCTGGGAAGTGCAAAAAAGCCTGTCTCTCTCGGGAATGTCAGCCTTTTCTAAGCGTTCACTCATTAGCTGGAGCAAGTGAGCCTCTCTGCTGCTTTGATGAGAATGCCCCTTCTAGGAGTGAGTCCTGAGCTTTCCACTTGCCCTTGGCCCTCTGGCTTGGAAGATGTAGTACTGACAGGGACATCCAAAAGAATGCAGAGTCCATTTGCAGCACCACCGCTGCAAGTCTGTGCCTCTCCCAGCAGATGAGCAGTCTTCCGAGACTTCAACAGAGTCTTTCCATTATACTTAAAGGTTCAAATAGGTTCCTACTGTCTGAAGAGTTCCATCCACCGTTACCCCCACTATTTACAGTTATGGCTGAACAGTGCCTTCTATCACCATATACAAATGTGTATGGTGGCCAAAGCTGTACTGAGCCCCAGTACCCCTTCTCCCAGCACACACACACACACACACACACACACACACACACACACACACACACACTGCACCTTTCCTTTACATAATCACTAAGTCTCCGTTTTACAAAACCACCACCCTGTGACTCCTGAGGGTTTCTCCTGAGAAAATCCCCTGGCCACAGACCACTGCCAAACCCCTGACTTCTCCCTGCCTCTACTCGGTTCAGTCCTTGCTTTAAGAAAGCAGAGAAGACAATTCCTCTGCTCTGAAGCAACTCCTTGCTCGGATTTTAATTGCTCAAAGGACATCTGTATTCAGAACGTGGGTTGGTTGTCTTGACTCCTACCTCAGAGACTTACAAAATCTTGGAAGAAATGCAGAGTAAACACATATGGCTGTGCACACGGATGGACCTTCAGCCAGCAACTGGGAGACAATGCATTTTAGAATCTGAGAAAGATGACATCAGAGCAGTTTAGAATCAAGGGCGGTTAAATGACACCCCAAATCCAAGTGCTAATAATCACCTAAATAAGTTGTTTAATTTTGCTGTGCTTCAGTTCTTTCCTCTGTAAACTAGAGAGGACAGCAGTACCTACTTTATAGAATTGCTGTGCAGATTAAATGAAATAATAAAAGTGAAACATTAAGTAGGCCCAGTGTCTGGCCTAAAGTTAGTGCTCAATTATTTTTTTCCTTTGCAAGGAAATCAAAAGTTCAATGGCTGCCTCACTGGAGTGTGACTTTTAGGAGCACTTTAAAGTAAGGAAATCTTAATGATTTCCTAGTATGGTATCATCATCCCAGTAGGATTTCAAAGGAAAAACAATTTCCATTTTCTGTCAACATCTGATAAGAGAAATCTTCTAAATAGTACTCTTCTTTGATGAGCTATTATAATCAATATAAATTAGCTCCTAGGTTCTGGGACTGAAGAAAATCAGAAAATCTAGAATGAATTGATAATACTAACTCTGATTTGTGCTTTTTTTGCTGGGGCAGTACCTGGGATCGAACTCAGAACCTTGCGCTTACAAGGCAGGCACAGCACCACTGAGCTAAATTCCCAGCCCTCTGGTTTGCTTTTTAAAATCTTTTGTTTGTTTCTTTTGTTTTGTTTTCTGAGACCAGGTCTCACTATGTAGTTCAGGCTGGCCTCAAACTCAATATGTAGCCCAGGATGGCCTTGAACTCATGGCAATCCTCCTGCCTCAGCCTCCTGAGTGCTAGGATTACAGGTGAGAGCCACCATGCCCAGCTGCTTTTTTTTTCAAAGCACCTTTATTGAAGGTCAATTTCTATAAACTTTGCCAATTTGTAAATGTATGTGCAATTTTGAGTTTTAATAGATGCATATGCCCATGTATTTATTACTATAATCATGATAACAATTCCATCACTCAGAAGGTTCTCCTATGCCTATTTGTGGTAAATTCTCTCCCACCTCTCTTAACCCCTATATAAACCACTGAAATGCTATCAGTAGAGTTTTACCTTTTTGTAGAATTTCATTTCAGTGGACTCATGCAGCACATTACCCTTTAGGCTTGGCTTCTTTCACATAGCATAATGCTTTTGCAACTCATCCATGTTGCCTAAATAAAATATAATTTAGGAAGACAGCTTAGCTGCTGTTCACTCTAGAATCAAATACCAACTTTTATTCTTAATTGTCTTGTGGGACCCTGACCTCTGTGTAGCCCCTAGTTAGTCAGCATATAGCAATGCAAAACAGTGTGTGGGAGCCTGGTACAGGTAAACAAGACAGTGACTCAAGGCCTCGCCAGAACAGAACACCCCGAGGTCTAGAGATGATCAACGTAAGAGACCAGTTGTGCCCTACACCCGACCCCCTGAGATAGATAGCAGAAAACTGACCCCTGGCCCACTGGCTGTGCGCGCCATCCTCTCCCCCTTGCCCTTAAAAGGTGCGCAAACCCCTGAGCTGGCACCTCTCTGAGCTACTTGGCTCCGGGAGTGCCGTCTGGCCAGACTAATAAAGGTCTGTTTACCAACAAGCCTGGCGTGTTCCTTCCTGGATGACTCTCGTTCCTCCATCGAGCTCCCGGAGCCTCGCTGAGCTATAGATCCCAGCATCTTGGGGCCCTCTGGGCTGTTCAAGGCTCCCGGAAGTAAGGCCCTGGGTCTTGCATGCGATGGCTAAAGGACTCAGCATTGTGAAGGTCCTTTCGGCTGTTCACGCTCCTCGGAGTGGAAGTGAGACTTTAGGTCTTACTGTCTGCTCTCTGTGGCAATCTATGCAATGGCTCCTGCTTTATCTTATCAGTAGTGACGCCTTTATTACTCTTATTTCGTTGCTGTTTATACAAGGTGATAAGAACTTTCCTTTCCTCTGGTTTTGAAATAGTGCAGGGCCAGCAGAGGCAAGGGCTCGGGGACAGTTGACATCAGCAGAGAGCCCTAAAGAGATCGTCTGGAGCAATGTTTCTCAAATGTTAATGTGCACGTGACCCCCAGGGATGCAGACTCGGCTCTGTGGGTCTGGGATGAGGCCGGAAAGTCTGATTTCCAACAACCTCCTAGGTGAAGCCAAGGCTACCGGTTCCAGGCTCCATGGGACAGAGAGCAGATGTTATCGTGAGTGAGGAAGGTCATACAAACAAGGAGGCTCAGAACACCCCGGCCTGTGCTTGAGAAACGCTGCTAGGCACGTGAATTTTCATCTTCTGTGATGAGGTACATATACACCTGCTTCATCTATCATCTCTGGTTTTATACGCCAAGTGAGAATTACAGTATCCATCTCTGTAGCAGGTAGATCTCTCCTACGGTCCCCCATGATCACTGCCTTCAAGACTGAGTGCGCTGACCTTTGTCCCCCCCGTAGTCCAATGTAACAATTGATTGGTCCCAAGGTCCGTCACTTAGCAGACCCTGACCATCCCTTGTCCTTCCCTTTCCCCTAGTAAGTTATTGCCCAGATGCCCTCCCGTTTTCTTTTACCACGGCTTCCTGGTTCTATCAGTAAAAATTCTTAGAGTCTTCAGTGTGCTGCTGTCTTTATGAGACTTGAGCACACTGAGGCATCTCCATTAAAGGCAGCCCCTCTGGGTCCCCTTGGAACTTGGATTGGACCCTGACTCCAAGTATTCTTTCATCTGCTGCACTGTGCCACTGTTATTAACTGCAACATCTATGGAGGAACCTGTGGGCCAGAGAAGTCTTCTGGCATCTACACAAAAGCCAGCAACATATCAGTGCACGGGGACCTGTGTCTTTCAGGAGGAGCCTTGTGAAAGATCCTGAACCAGAGGACCCAAGCAAGCCATGCCTGTATTCCTGATCCCTGGAAATGATGGGATAATAAATACGGTAGTTTGGCACCACTAAGTTTGGAGGTAATTTGTTAGGTAGCAAGAGTTGTTTTGAAAATTAAAGAAGACAGAGTAATTGATGTATGCAAAAGAACTTAGCACAGTGCCCAGAAGAGAGTAGTTGCTTGGAAATATCAGTCACTCTAAAAACACCACAGTCACAACCATCATCAGGATTTATAAACAGTAACCTAGGAATAATCCATGTACATAAACTCTGCTAGTTTCGGCTTGTTGAAAAATCTTCAGGTCAAAAGGCCTGACTTATACACAGAAGCACAAAGACAATTAAAAGTCTATTTGTAGACATGTAGACAATCTCACTTTTGTCTAACTATATTCCATACAACCTCACTTTTGTAAGATTGTTTTTCCTAGATTTTAGAGCTGGACCGTGTACCCAGCAGGCACTTGGATGATGATGGTGGTGGTGGTGGTGGTGATGATGGGAGAAAAGGAGCTCCCACTGAGCCCTGTTTTATAAAATGGTGACCCCACTTTTTCTTACTCCCCTCTTCTTCTTTCTAGTTTTTCCAAAGGTGCAAGTTCAGTGGCAGGTGTCAAATCTAATGGAAGCCATCAGGAACCAGAAACCAGTCCCCAACTCGGAGCTGCCACTCTTAACGAGAAAAAGACGATGAGCAACATTCAAACTCCTCTCCTGCCTGCAGAGCTACAGGCCGTGCTTTCACTCTAGCCTGCATTTAGATTTCAGCCAATGCCCCACAGGTCACTCAAAGGCATCTGGAACTGGATGGGAGCTAAGAGGTGGTAGTGAAGGGTGAAAAGTCACAGATGTGAGCATTGAAATTGGTAATCGAAACCCATATGAAAATAAGCATGGAAACCCCTGAGACCAAACCCTCTCTATTCAGCAACCCTTTGTTCAGTGTTACTATGTGTAAGACACTCGGCTGTGCCAGTGACCATGGAAATATCCACACTAGTCAAGCACAGTCTGGTGGAGGGATCAGGTACACTCACACCTGACTCTACTGAAGGAAAAGCCGGCCAAATCATCACCTACTGATGCCTGCATGGGAGGTGGGACCAGAGATATAGACCAGCTGGTGACTAAGAAGACAAGACAGGATGGTATGCATTATAATAGGAATTTACACAAAGAGCCAAGAAAATATAAGGCAGCAAGAGTTTGTTCTAATGAACCATGAAAAGCACCTAGAGAAGGTAACATTTGAGTTAGTTCTTGATGTATGAATAAGATTTCAACACGTAGTCTGAGCATTCCAGATGGGGTGAGGGTGGACATGGTTAAGACAAAGGCAACACTGAGTAAAAATACAAAGTGAGTCAGGAAATACAATGGCAGGAATATCTGCTGAGTGGCAAAAGAGTGGAAGCAAAGGATAAAATGGGCAAAATCTAAAGGGCCCTGAAGCTGAGCAACAGGGGTTGGATTTATTCTGCATGAAGTAGAAAGGGATATGTAACTTTTAAGGCCAACCGTGATATGGTCATGTATCAATACACTTCAGATTGATAGTGACAAAAACCCAATTCAAAATGACCTAGCAAAAAACAGAATGTGTTGGTTCATTTCACTGGGAAGTTCAGAAATGAAACTGGCAACTGGCCCAGCTGATGCCAAGGAATAAATGAAGTCATCTCTCAGCTCTGCTTTCCCTTTCTTTCTCAAGGTTGTTCTTCCCAGAGATGGGGCGAAGATGAATCCCAGTAGCTTGGACTCCACAGAGAGAAGAGATTACTTGCTCCCCAGTAATTCCTTCAAGAGTCCAGGGTTGATTCTCAATGAAAGCTCTGGTCACCCGTCGTGGAGGCAAATACACTGGCCAGAGGAAGACAATCCCCACCCTTGGACACAGAAGGGAGAGTTGGCACCACCCAAATGTCTTTTCCTTTGAGAGGTACTCAGATGAAAATCCAAGTGCTATTTTCAAAAAAGGAGAAGTGGGTGCAAAATCGACCCCTCCTATTCTGGTTTAGATCTAAAATGTCCCCTACAGTGTTTCATGTATTTGGGAAGTGACTGGATCACAGGGCACCATACTCATCAGTGGATTACATAGATAAGTTCAATAGTTGGCTGCTATCAGGAGGTAGGGCCTAGATGGAGGGCGTCACTGGGGACATGACTAGAAGGGTGTGTTCTTATCCTTGACTCCTCTCTTTTCTCTCTGCCATGAGGTGAGCAGCTTTCCTGTTATCCCTCCTGCTATGCCATTTCTGCCTTGGAGCCAATTGACCATGGAGTGAACCAACTGAAATCTGTGACAAGAGTAACCTTATACTCTTTTATGTTGAAGGTGTCAGATATTTTGTCCCTGTGATAGGAAGGTGACTAATATATCTGCCAAAAACCCCTCTCTATTACAACACAAAAAAATAATTGTAGGGATGGTTTCATGGAGAATATGAAGGGAAGAGGACCAGAGGCAAGACAAGGAAAGACTCTACAATAGACTGGGCAAGAGAGAAAATGCAGTGGACCAGGACAGTATCAAGGGTACAGCTTAGATAAAGTCGGTGTGCAGAGTCACACAATATTCCAGGGGTCAAGAGAGAAATTCTAAGAAACACTGGGAATCATCTGGGTAATGAATATGAATTAGAGGGTATGTGGTACAGAGACAAAACTTAGATTAATCTTGTATATCGTGCTCTTATCCATGTTAACTAAGTTCAAGTGACCTTGGTATGTGATGTCTTACACAATATCAGAACCAGCACAGCCTAAGATAGCTTGGGTTGAAATTAGACAAATAGATACATACAGGTTTATCTAAACCACACATACAGGCTTAGAAAGAAAAAAACTCATTCATATTACCTGTACATTCATGTTTTCTTCAATTTGCTTTAAAAATAAATGATTCAATTTTATGAATACATATACTGATTTTTCACAACCATAGCCAATGAATATTTTATCTACTACAAACATAGCCCAGAAGGAAAGAACTCAGGAACCTAAACTCTGTTTTCATTAAAAAAGCACTAAAAGCAGAACAGGGTTGGGGAAAGTACTCAGGAAGAAAGGAGTCAGGCTTCATCTGAAGGCAAGCTATGTCTGCCTCCCTGGGCTTCATGACTTTTATTTGAATAAAGAAGTGATGGAGCTGATCTCCGTGTAAGTTTCTTTCCATATCTACCCCAAAGTCTCCCCAAGCCTGGGTACTGAGGGATGATCAGACCCTCAGCTATCTTTTTGGGAAAATGATGAGGAATAAAAGAAAGAGATGACAATTTTCAAGATACAAAGAGAGGACCAAGAGGAGACCTACCTCTAGTGGACAGACTTGAATAAGACTCCACAGTTGACCCACTTTTTAGCCAGTGAGCACAGGGGGAAGAGTAGAATGTGTTTCATGGCACAGCTGTATATTGACAACTGCTCTCAGCAGATGCTATCTTGCCTCAGGAGGGCTGGGTTGTCAGCATTCCACCCATAGCCAGATAACACTGACCTGGAGATGGTAACCTAGTTCCCAGTACCTGAGAGTCTCCCTTCCTGAAAAAACTTTGAATCTCTTTGTTTGTTTCCCTGTCTGTATCCTGCTCTGTGTCAATTCTATGAAAAGTCCCATTGACAAATGATAAGAGTTCTCTACCAGACAAAATGGCTCCAACAGTCCTACATTGTAAAATGGCTCCCATTTCTAAAATGATTTCCTCTTATGGAAATGAGCCACTTGGGAAAAGTCAAACCTATCCCTTCTGGAGAAGCAAAACCTAGCTTGTTGCTCCTCTCTGCTATCTGCAAGTTATCCTCCCCTTCCAATCACCCAGTGTCCCATTGCCTGCCCAACAACCCAACCAATTCTCAACTCTCAGGATATTCTCTCCACTACACCACCCCATATAAACCTCACCCCAGTTAGTTTTGCCTTCTCTTGCCATTGTTTGAAGCAGCCCCAGCA